AATGTGTTTATCTGGAAATAGCAGAGAAACACAGTTCAGGATACACAGATTTAGGCAGAACCTTAAGACTTGTCCCTAGAAGGGACCCAGGTTCGTGGCTCCTTATAGAAGGAGAGAGGATGAGGTAATAGATGAGATAAAAGTCAAATGAAATGGTCACTAAGTAAACTGGCAGGTGGAGGGATCACAAAATAAAACTAGGTAAAAGCCTTCTTGATCAGTCTTTCAAGTTGAATGTTCTTGCTCTTGATGGCTTCTTGGAATGTTGGCAGGTTGGTCCATTTCCAGGGTCAGATCCAATTTAAAGAAATCAAAAGTGATTTTCCACTCTGAGGTGCTTCCTCTGTTCATAATGCATTATGACTCCAGTGACATCATTTTTCACATTTCCCCCTTTTGTCAAGGTTTTTCTCTGAAAGCATCACTAAAATTTCAGATACTGGAAATAACTGTCGATCAGCATTGAGTCAAGTTTTCTTCTGTGTTTCATTTTCATCCCTTTACCATGAAGGATCATTTCTGTTATTCATATCCCACATCAGAGTGAAAGTGTTTTTTTTTTTTTTTTTCCTGGTTGGGCCATGGGGGTGGGGGAGTAGGTGGGACGGGCAGGGAGTAGGGGAAGGGAGCCTTTAGGCCACAGTTGTGCAACAAGAGCATTAGGGCAAAGAAAGGCTTTACTGTCAAGTTCCTTTTAAGGGTCAGTATCTTCTGCATTTCCTTGAAGTTTCTCATGTGAAGGTTCATAAGCCTTGGTGATCATTTTAAAGCAAGGGATGATCACTGAATGATGTTCTTTTAACATTGAACTATGGGGTGGGGAAGGTAGGTAGTTGAACAACTAAATTCCTGTAATAACAGCCAAAACGCTCAATCCAAATTAAAGAATAGATGTACACTTGAAGGCTGTGCCTGAGGATAGTCAGCCAAATAGACGAGAAACCAAATGAAGTCTCAGCAGATACCCTATTGCAACATCGGGTTTACTCCTGAATTTTGTCCAGTTCTGTCATATTTTGCCAGAGGCATTTAGCCAAGCACAACTAGAGGTATTTATAACAGAAATAACCTCACTGTTCAGCTAGGATATAATCAAGGGCATTTCTTTGATCTGTACTGCCAGATAAAGCCTGGTAGTTTCATTGGGTTGAACACCACCATGTGAGGAGCACTGTTGGCAGTGTTTGCAATCTGTTTATGAGGGTATTTTATTCTGTGGGGTAGAGTTAAGGATACGTCCCAAGGCTGAGTTTTTAACTGCTTGGAATAAACTAGTAATCCAGCTTTGCTAAGGGAATCTAGAAGAATTCACTGTCCATTCAGTTTAGACTAGTGGAAAATAAAGCCTTAAAGACAAGAACACTAGAATCTAATATCTACGAAAGTGCAAACATATTTTTTCCCTTTACAATTATTCTCACTTTTATCAATGATAATCATAGTAGAATTAATGAGTTGCTAAAATAAGTTTCAATAAACTTGTCTTGTTATTTGCATAAATATAGCAAGAGTAGTGATTAACCATACAGGCTGTTTTATTTTTATTTATTTATTTATTTTTTTTTTAATAGAGGCATGCTTTATTTATTTGTTTGCTGGTTTGTTTGTTTTGTTTATACATGCACTGGGTACAGTCAGAAGTGCGGGAGGGTGAGAGAATTCACCAGAGCCAGAGCGGGGAGCAGAGCAGGCAGAAGGACCGAAGTACACTGCTGAGGGGAGCAGCGGGCGGCAGGAGAGGTCTGCGCACCATGTGGGACCCTCCTCCGGTGGCCGGGGAGCAGCCGGGGATCGAACCGGCGCCGCAGAGGCTGCGGGCAGCCTCGCAACCCAGCGCTCAACCGCTGCGCCACCAGGGAGGCCCCATACAGGCTGTTTTAAATCTACTGCTTATCATCAGATTTTACCTGTATTGTTCATACAAAGAGAACAGGTTTTATTGCTATGAAAGTAAGAATACAAGCTAAGTATTCCATATACTGGAGGAATTTCTGTTAGATCGGGAAAAAGTAAATGTTTCATCTTTGTTCACAAGTTATAGTTTACCGTATTGTTAAAAGCAAAAGAGGGCATCATTGCCATAGGGGTTAGGCAGACAAAAAAGAATCATGATCTAAAAATTTGAGATATGCAGTTTAGTAACAACTGGTTATAATTTTTAATGTAAAAGAAAGAATTTATGACATTCTGTAGCAAAATTGGGCAATTCTGATATTTATAAATTAATATACTTGTTTATCTTCAGTTGTATTCTATTCCAAATATTTTATTGCTGTGCGAACATTTGACATTTCAAAACTAAACCTTTTGGAATAAACTGCTGTTGTTAAACAGGTACTGCTTTTAAAAGAGTTTCTGAGTATATATACTTTGTATAAAAGCCAAGATACCTCTAAAAGTGGTAGATAATACTCATTAAGATAAGTAAATAAATTTACAAAGGAACACTATGACAACTAGATAACAAGAACCACCCTTTACTAGGGGATATGGAATAACATGCCCAAACAAAGATACTGTAGACTTTTATAATTTAAATAGTAAATAGCCTAATATAGATAACATTGATGTTCAATAACTTGTTTTTGACATAAATTGATGGTTTCCAATATATTATTTAAAAAAAGAATATGTCATTTTTCCAAGTCTTAATTTGATTAGCTTTCTTTGACAAGACTTGAAATGTATGCAATGTGTACAACATTGGAAGAGTGTGTGCATGTGTGTACATTTATCTGTATGTCCATAAACAAAAATCCCTGAAAAGGATCCAAATATCCTAGCTCAAGGAATTATGCTCAATGAAATAAGCCAGAAGGAAAAAGAAAAATATCAGATGGTTTCACTTATAACAGAAATATAGGGGAACCAAATAAGACATCAGTGTAAAAAAATAATAACAGTACAAAGCACAACAAAGCAAAAACAGACAATTAGAAATCAGAGACTACTGCAGGGAGGAGGTGGGAGAGGGAGCAGAGGGAGGGAGGGAGGAGCACAGGGGACTGTGGTGATGGTGCACGGGTGACTTGGGGAAGGAAATTCTATGGGGACTCAATCTGAGGGGGTGGGGGAAGCAAATATTGTCTAAAAAAATTAAAAAATGATAAATGTTAAAGTAAAAAAAAAAGATTATATTCAGAAAACTGCTCAAGAAGCACTGAATGTTACCCATGGTGGGGCCATGACTCAAGTCTTGTTTTGAAGGGCTGAAGTTAGATGGGCAATAAATACTCTTCTCCAGAACAACAACAACAACAACAACAAATATCCTAGCTCAGATATCTCAAGGTCGTTTTGTATTTTAATAGTCATATATGATACTATTATGATCTCATTTTGGCTATGGTTCTGCTACACCTGATGTTATGAGAACCATGAATTCAAACTAGGAGGTAATTTCAAACTGAAAGCAAAGAAAATAATGAAATTTCAACAGTATTTAAAAAAATTATAATCATTCTAGTTCATCTAGTTTTCACATAATTAATTTTGTTCCATTTAAATCCAACTTTTCCTATACTCTGGAAATTCATACCCAGTTAGTTTCATTTCTGAGGTTACGATTTAGCATCACTTCCCACTCAACACACCAAATAAGTCTGATTTTTTTGGTCCTCTCTGTTTTATATATGCAGAGAGGGCAAATCCTTTTGTTGTGTTCTAGGCAAATGCAGAAAGAAACAGGGTTTAGTTCTCTTATTTTTAATATGTATGTATTTAATTTTTGATTTTACCTTTTTGTTGGAGGTTTTAGCTAACATTTTAATTTAGATCTTCGTTAACTTAGAATTGGGAACCAGACACCAGTCAGTGGCCAGCCTGTTAACACAAGATAGATCCTTTATAGGTCAAACCTCAGGTTTTTCTGGACACCTTGGCTTACCTGGGAATGCTGGAAACATGTGGTTAAAGGAATCCTGGTAGGGTGACAGGAATCTGGCAACAGTTGCCCTGTGGGCAATCATCTCTGTGCTTATCTCAGGATACACGCGCACAGTGATACCCTGTCCCCTTTGGGCTCCCTGCTATTGTGGCTGCACTTGCATTTTGCTCATCTCACTTTGGTCCTCATCAAACCCCTTCTCGAATGGACAGGTAGGAATAGTGCAGTGACCAGTCTAATTGCTAGTCAGCTAGAGGCAGGTGTGAGGAACTTCTCGGCTCCTCTTCCCAGTGCAACCAGCAAGTGGGGAGAGGGAACGAGCTGCAGTGATTCATACCCTAGGGGAACAGAATGGGTTTTATTTCTTGAATTTGGGGGTCAATTTTGTAGTTTATTATAATTAGGATTTGCCACTTTTTGTCACAGATGAATAGATCAATCAGTAATCCTCGAATAGGATTGAAAACACATTTAGCAATAAATAGATTTGATTTAAACTTATTTGTATGCTTCAGGGCCTCCCCGGTGGCTCAGCTGTTGAGTGCTGGGTTGCGAAGCTGTCCAGCAGCCTCTGCAGCGCCGGTTCGATCCCCGGCTGCTCCCCGGCCACCGGAGGAGGGTCCCACATGGCGCGCAGACCTCTCCTGCCGCCCGCTGCTCCCCTCAGCAGTGTACTTCGGTCCTTCTGCCTGCTCTGCTCCCCGCTCTGGCTCTGGTGAATTCTCTCACCCTCCCGTGCTTCTGACTGTACCCAGTCCTTGTATAAATTAAAAAAAAAAATCTTTAAAAAGAAAAGAAAAGAAAAATCTTTAAAAAAATAAACTTATTTGTATGCTTCATTAATATGTTTTACTTCTTTTTCATGCTGCTATCACTTTAAGTTTAAGAAATATTTATAGTGTAGGGCAGCTCTATGAAATTGAATCCTGTTAAACGCTTTTGTTATAGAGAAGTTTCTCGAATATTGCATGTACTGACCATGATGTTGACAATGGTTGGAGGGAAACCACCTAAGGAACCAGTTGGTCATACCTGGAAGTGGGTGTTTGTGACATGCAAAGTAAATCTTGATTCAGAGCGGCTTCCCCAGATCCCATGTGATTTGGATCTGCTTTCATCCACCTCACCACCATTTGACACAAAAGGTATATTCAGGAGGGTTTCTTTGGGGTTCCTTTGATGTCATGTTATCTGGGGAGCAGGCAACATGGAGCAGATGGTACAGCCCTATAAAGTCTTAGCGCTTCACATCTTCAGTACCCTCTGCAGAGGCGGCCACTCTGAGTCTGCACCTGCAGGGAACCCTCAGCTTCTGGCATCTGTGGGAAAGGAAGGAGAGAGTCTCTGGGCTGGTGAGAAGGACTTTCTGAGTCTGCACATGATCCCTGTGTATCTGGGGGGAGCACAGATGCCAGCTCAAGTCTGGTGGGGTCTTAGGGATGGGAGAGTCAGAGAAGGAACCCAGACCGCAGGTATTTGTAAAGTTGGACAGTGGTGGGTTGTTCCAGGAGGTTCCAGAATGCCCAGAGGCCCATCACTTTCCCTTGAGGTTTTCTGAGTCAGAAAGGTTGGGGGTAAGGATGGGAAAAGAGAAAGGAAGTTCATCCCTGTGACCTTGTGCTTCTCATTTGCCCTTGGAGGACAATGGCCAGAATATGCTTCCTGCTGTTCCTCTCTGTGGCCACCAGAGGGTGGAGCACAGGTGAGTCCCTGGGGCAACAGCACCTTCAGCTCACCTGTGTGTGCAGTGCGGTTGGGGCAGAGAGGGGCAGGATGCCCAAGTCTTGGTCAGAGGGGAGTCAGGAGCTGTACGAGCCACACTGGCAGCTGCTAGAGCTGTGGCCTGGTGCTGACCCAGGTCTCCTGGGTTGGAGCTGAGGCAACAAGGGAGCCCTGGGGCTACTCTGGGACTCTGAGTGACTGGGAGGGGTTAAGGAGAGGGAAGGAGGGACTGTTTCCCCTGCCCGCTGCTGCTGCTTCTGTGTCCTAGGCCTCAGGACACCAGGGGGAGCTGTGGTCAGTCTGTACCAGGGGGCATCTAGTGCCCTTTCTTGCAGAAGCCACAAATGGTGATTGTGATTAGTTAGTGGAGAGGAGGAATCAGTCTGTACTGGCCAGTGGGTCAGACCCTGTAGCAGAGAGAATCCAGACCCTGAACCACAAGTCTGCTGAGCTGGTGAAGTAGATAGGACTGGGCGCTGCCGGCAGGAAGGATGGTGCCAAGTCACTAGATATTCATGAAAATACTCTCGTTGCTCTAGCAGCGGCCCCATTTCATGAGAACAAGACCTCTCCCCGGCACTCTTCCTACCCTAGAAGCTGCAAGGAAATCAGGCAGCGCTCCCCTGTAGCGCGAGGTGAGTCACAAACTGGTGCAGATTTGCTCCTTGAAGCCACTTTTTAAAAAAGATTTATTTTATTTATTTATGCATATAAGAACTGGGGTCTAGGCTAGAGGTGCAGGGGGGTGAGGGGATTCACCAGAGACAGAATGGGGAGCAGAACAGGCAGATTAACTGAATATACTGCTGAGGGGAGCAGCAGGTGAGATTAGTGAGGTCTACTGTGCCATGTGGGTAGCTCCTTGGCCGGGGATCGAACTCCTGTTGCAGCGGCTGCAGCTAGCTTCATAGTGTTGATCTTAACCACTTGCGCCACCAGTGAAGCCACTTTTAACCAGACAGACCTGCATGGACATGAGAAAGGGCACTGGCACCAACAGTTCAGATTCAGCTCCCACATGTGGACACACCAGGGGAAATCTAGGGTGTATGTATCTATCACCAGTCACAGCAGACTTCGCCTCTGCACCTGGGACACTCGGTTTTCCCGTGATATTTAAGGTGGTTTCGAGCGTTATGAGCTGTACAAGGTGTCCCAAATGTAAGCAGTGAGCCGCTGGCTCATGGATGAACACAGAGAGGCTCTGAACCTGAAACAAGAACTTTATATCTGGACAAATTCCAACAGGCTGATGTGAGAAGGCCAGGTTGCACCTGCTCATGCACTGGGCTTGACACACAGGCTGGCGGTGGACTAGACAGAAAGAGTTTTTAATATGCAGACAGTTTATTACATACACAGGTTTTAATTTATTGATCCCTTAAGTGACATCTTAGAACAAAGGGTCAAGAGACAGGGCTAAATGCTGGAGGCTCTGTGCTGGGGACACACCGTGTCAGCTGTGCAGTCTGGTCACTGCAGTTGCCTCCTCAGAGGTGAGGGAGGGGTTGGGGCTCAGCTCAGACCTCAGCCGAGCTGGGGCAGGGTCATACACCATCCTGACAGCTGAGTCAGCAGCTCCTGGAAGGGAGGGCAGGGGTGAGAATGACATGGCAGTGGCCGCACAACCTCCTATTTCCACGACTCGGGAGCACACGGCAGCCCGAGGCTGAGGCAGTGTGATGGGTCAGCCTAGCCTCTGTGCCCATGTGGGGACATGCAGGGACCAGGGTGCTTTGAGAAGCCTCTCCCCAGGCTGAGTACAGGGAACAGCGTGGACAGAGGGAGCTGGCCCTGAGTGACAGCAGTGAGTGAGCCTGCCCTGGGCTCTGATGCCACTCCAGATGTGGGCCACAGATGTGTGGCCTCTCCTGGCCACAGAGAAGCCCTAGCCAGGGGAGACACACAGCATCTCTGCCTCTCAGGCTGTTTGCTCTCCAAACTCTTGAGAGAACAGCCTGGAACCAGGGCACTCGCCTCTGCTCCCAGGTGAACCCTGGAGACTCCTCCTGACACGTGGCCAGGTGAGGGGCCCCAGCGTCTACCAGGCCTCCCACGCCTTTCTGGTCGTAGGGTTGGATGGTCATGGCTCTCAGACAGGGCCTCTGGGCTGCCTCCCCCTGCAGATGGCCTGTATTTCCTCCGCACCGAGGATGGGGTCGTCTACCAGACCTTCTGTGACATGACCACTGACGGGGGCGGCTGGACCCTGGTGGCCAGTGTGCACGAGAACCACTTGGCCGGGAAGTGCACGGCGGGCGATCGCTGGTCCAGCCAGCAGGGCAACAGGAATGACTACCCAGAGGGCGATGGCAACTGGGCCAATTACAACACCTTTGGGTCAGCAGCAGGGGCCACCAGCGATGACTACAAGGTTGGTGCCACCCACTGCCCCCTGAGAGAGAGCAGAGGAGCATGTTTGGCCCTTATCATGGCAAAGAGAGGGATGGGGATGGGTTTTGGAGATCAGGCTGGAGAGAAGACTTACCTCCATGTCTTGTGTGATGGCTCCTCCAAACTAGGCTGCTAGGGACCCGACGATGGGGGTCCTCACCTGCGGGTTTTAGCTCTGAGCACTGCTTCCTCTGCCTCCTGAAGCTCAGGTCTCCCGCCCACTGCGGGCTGCATGTGGGGGTTTGCTTGTGGGAATCCTGGCTGGTGAGCCCCGTGTCTGTCCCTCCCAGAACCCCGGCTACTACGACATCCGGGCCAAGGACCTGGGCATCTGGCACGTGCCCAACAAGTCCCCACTTAAGAGATGGAGGAGCAGGGCCCTGCTCAGGTACCGCACCAACAGCGGCTTCTTCCAGAACCTGGGAAATAATCTGTTTGGCCTCTACCAGGTACGCAGGGTCTGTCTGGGGGGCATTTTCTTCAGGGAACAGGGAGGCAGTACTGGGGCGGGGAGGAGTGGGCTCTGGTCCCTGTCCTGCAGGGCTGCTCTGGGCTGCTGCTCTTCTCTCTGCTTCATGGTGACCTGGTGCGCCGCCTCCCTCAGAGAAGCTGAGCCAGAAGGGAGAGAAAGTTGGGGGGGAAATGGAGAAGGACTCGGTAGGAGAGACGCCTCCAGGGGAGACAGGAATTACCGATATTATTATTTTTTTTGGGGGGGCCAATGAAGGTAAGTGTTTCATTTTTAAAACCTATCATTAAAAAGAATGACAAACACATATAGAATTATACTATAATTGTTTTATTTTGCTGTTTCATTCTAAGAATGTAATATAATCTTTTTCAGAGAACAGTTAGCTGGTCAAATTTTTACTTAAAACATTTGTTCATACTTGACCAGAGATGTTTCATAGGCTACCATGTGAATTGGTAATTCTAAAGTCTTTTGTTAAATATAAACGTTTTCCTAATACTACTCTTAAAGTACATCTCATTTATCTTCCTCCTTAAGAACTGCATTGTTTTACTGTAAACAGTTTAAACACCTGCAGTAAAGTAGGAAGTTTGCTAAGCGTAGAGGTGCTGTGGTTAATGCTCAAAATAGTGTGGCCAGAAAAAAAGCAAGCATTACATTAAATATGAATGCGATCCTTACAAACACAAATTGAAACTTTTTTCCAATTAAAAAAACCTAGTCCAAAAAGTCTCATTCTATAAAGATTTATCATTTCCAAATCACAGTGAATGAAACTTGAGCTATTTACCAATTTTGTTTCTACTATGTGCTCTGAGATACCTTACCAAAAGCTGGTATCTGACACAACAGAACGATATTTGCAGAATGCAGTATTGTAGTGACAGTACTGAGGGTGTTACAGACATATTAAACTCTTCCGTATTAAATGGTTACATCCTAATTATTTATATAGATCATTGGTCCAATAACAAAAAATAGCTGGAAATTTATCTCATTCAGTGTTCTGAGATAAAAGGGTAAACCATTCTTTCCATTATTTTCTGTTGATAAATCCCTTTGTATATTGAAATCTGATCGCTATTAAAGTCTGGCATTTTGCCAGGCTGCTGTATGAAGAGGATGCTGAAGGCCGTCACTATACAGCACACTGCTACATAAGGGCTCTTCCATTCACCAATTCTGGCACACTTCCAAATTATACCCAACAATCCAGTTTTATTTCTGTCTAGGATGCTGGGTGCCAAAGATCGGATGTAAGCACAGGTACATATAAGCAGCAAGATTACAGTCAGAAGACTCTGAAAATTGAAAATGGCAGACATAGAGAGGCCGGCCAAGCCCCAGCTACATCACCCTTCCAGGCCTGGGGTGGAAGGAGCGTTCAAACCACCCCCTCGCAATCACTGATATTATGATGATTTCTGAATATGACTCTGGGGGATCCCTGCCCCCCAACCCTTACACCCCTCTGTGGCAAAGTCACCACCATCCTCACACAGCTTCTGTGTGTCCTTGCAGAGATACCCAGTGAAGTATGGAATAGGCAAGTGCTGGACGGACAACGGCCCTGCTATCCCCGTGGTCTATGACTATGGTGACGCCAAGAAAGCTGCATCTTATTACTCCCCACTTGGTCAGGGTGAGTGTTTGATCCTTAAGCTTGTTCCCCAACACTTCCACACATTCTTGGGGGAGGTGGTAAAGAACAACAATCATTACTGTGAACATATATGTGTTCATATTCAAACATTGTAAATGTGCTGAATTCTTTTCTAGGAACTTGAATGTTTGTGTCACTTAATCACCATGGCTAAATGCAGTTAGAGGGGGCTTCCCCGGTGGCACAGCGGTTGAGTGCTGGGTTGCGAAGCTGCCCGCGGCCTCTGCCGCGCCGGTTCGATCCCCGGCTGCTCCCCGGCCACCTGGGGAGGGTCCCACATGGCGCGCAGACCTCTCCTGCCGCCTGCTGCTCCCCTCAGCAGTGTACTTCGGTCCTTCTGCCTGCTCTGCTCCCTGCTCTGGCTCTGGTGAATTCTCTCACCCTCCCGTGCTTCTGACTGTACCCGGTGCTTGTATGAAAAAACAAACAAACAAATAAATAAATAAAACATGCCTCTATTTTAAAAAAAAAATAAATGCAGTTAGAAATATGATTATGTCCTTTTTATTTATTTATTTATTTATTAAAGATTTATTTATTTATTCATACAACCATTGGGTACAGTCACAAGTGCGGGAGGGTGAAAGAGTTCACCAGAGCCAGAGAGGGGAACAGAACAGACAGAACGATGAGATACAATGCTAAGAGGAGCAGCAGGCACGGCAGGAGAGGTCTGAGCGCCATGTGGGACCCTCGCCGGGGGCCGGGGATTGAACTGGCGCTGCAGAGGCTGAGGGCAGCTTTGCAGCCCAGCGCTCAACTGCTGCGCCACCAGGGGAGGCCCTGATTATGTCCATTTTATAATATAGAAAGCCAGGCTGCTTCATCACCGTTTTGTTTGGTTTCATATAGTTATTTAGCTCACGTAAGCTAATGTTCACAGGAAAGAACAACTAGCAAGACAATGAGAAAATTTCATTTCTTATGAATGAAATTTTAGCAAAAGAAAGTCACAGAAGGGCCTCCCCGGTGGCACAGCGGTTGAGCGCTGGGTTGCGAAGCTGCACGCGGCCTCTGCAGCGCCGGTTCGATCCCCGGCTGCTCCCCGGCCACCGGAGGAGGGTCCCACATGGCGCGCAGACCTCTCCTGCCGCCCGCTGCTCCCCTCAGCAGTGTACTTCGGTCCTTCTGCCTGCTCTGCTCCCCGCTCTGGCTCTGGTGAATTCTCTCGCCCTCCCGCGCTTCTGACTGTACCCAGTGCATGTATAAACAAAACAAACAAACAAACCAGCAAACAAATAAATAAAGCATGCCTCTATAAAAAAAAAAAAAAAAAAAAAAAAGAAAGTCACAGAAGTGGTCTTTTTTAAGAAAATAAAATCTGGGGGCCTCCCTGGTGGTGCAAGGGGTTAAGTCTCAGCACTATGAAGTTATCTTGAGCCACTGCAGAACAAGTTCGAGCCCCATCCAGGGAGGTGACGCAGATGGCGCAACCGACCTCTCCTGTCTCACCCGTTGTTCTGCTCAGCAGTGTATTTCAGTAAATCCGCCTGTTCTGTTCCCACTGTCTCTGGTGAGTCCTCTCAAGCCCCGCCCCCCACCCCGGCACCTCTGGCCTGTACCCCAGTTCTTGTATGCATAAATAAATAAATCATCTATCGCTATTAACCCTTGATATTTTGTGGAAAACAGGTAATGATAGACAGGTGAGAAATGATAGACAGGGGGTGGATAGCTGCACCCCCTGCTGGACCTTTGTGGGTCTTCTTTTATTATTTTTAAAGATTTATTTTATTTACTTATGCATACAAGAGCTGGGGTGTAGGCTACCGGTGTGGGGGGTGAGAGGATTCACCAGAGACAGAATGGGGAGCAGAACCAGCAAAATGACTGAAATACACTGCTGAAGGGAGCAGTGGGCAAGACAGAAGAGGTCTGCTGCACCTTGTGGGTTGGCTCCCTGGCAGGGGAGCCACTCCCAAGCTGCAGTGGCTGAGGATAGCTTGATAGTGCTGAGACTTAACCCCTTGTGCCACCAGGGAGGCCCCTCTGTGTCTTCTTGGTGATCTTTCTGAGTCTACTTTCCCGTGTAAGCCTTGGGCAGACAAGTGTTCTCTGTGAGCTCAGCCTTGACTTCTTGCCCCAGTAGGAGAGAGATGCCCCCCAAGCCCAGGTGAAGGCCAGGGCCACCAGCCACAGGCCCAGAGGTGCTGGCCCACCCCTATGCTGCAGTGCTGGCTGCAGCCAGAACTGCCTGTCAGGGAATCCCTGCTGGGCACAGAAAGGTGGTTCTAGCTCCTTCTTTGACCTCCTGACCCTTTCTCTCTTCTTCCTTTCCAGAGGAATTTGTTGCTGGATTTGTCCAGTTCAGGGTGATTAATAGAGAGAGAGCAGCCAATGCCCTGTGTCCTGGGATGAGAGTTACTGGCTGCAACACTGAACATGTAGGTTTTGTGGACAGTGGCATTGTCTGTGTGTGTGTGTGTGTGTGTGTGTGTGTGTGTGTACTAGTCTTTTTATTCTCTTGATGGGCTCTTATTCATGTTAACAAAAATCAGTTTGTCAACATTTTCCTGTATGATTCGTACATCAGTTTTGTTCATGAGGGCTTTCTCTTTCCTTCTGTTGAGATCATGAAGATATTCTCTAATGTTCATGTAACTTTCAGAAGTTTTATGTGTTGGCTTTTCAAGTCTTGTAGGAGAAAGTGGCATGGCTGGGTGACTGGACACTGCCCCGGGGGACATCTGAGGATGGGCTAGGAGGAGAGGGAGTCAGCCTCACAGAACAAGGGCATCTTCCACTCACCTGACTGTCCTTGACCTGATGTCACAGCTACATATTTTTTTTAAATATTTATTTATTTTTGCATACAAGGGCATAGGCCAGAGGTGCAGGGTGGTGAGACAATTCACCAGAGACAGAGTGGGGAGGGCTGAACAGGAGGATTGACTGATATACACTGCTGAGGGGAGCAGTGGGTGAGACAGGAGAGGTCTGCTGTGCCACATGGGTTAGCTCCCTGGCCAGGGATCAAACTCAGGCTGTAGAGGTGATAGTGCTGAGATTTAACCCTTAGGTCACTGGGAAGTTCAGAGATCAGTGTTCTTAACAGGTTGAAAGAGCTTGCATGGACCAGGGACAGGAAGATGATGGGTCAACAATTCTTGACAACAGATGAACATGGGGGTTGGAAAGTGAAGGGGACCTTCAATTGTTTAGGGACTGGTGCCATCCATTTAGAAGTGATGAGGAACAGCTTAGGGGCATCAAGAGAGATGAATCTTTTGTTTGGGTCTGCAGAGGTGAGAAGGCTGGGAGGTATTGAGGTGGAGGCATCCAGGGAGGCTGTGAAGGGAGGTGAGTGGGGGCCCGGAATGGGAATGCTAATGAAAAGATCAAAAGGAACTCAGGACAGAGAATGACTTGTCTGTACCGGGCGAGGAGACTTTATGGGAGGGGGTGGTAAAGACAAGTATGACCAGGACCAAAGATTCCAGGATTCGCCCAAGAAGAGCTCACAGGCGTGGGCTGCAAATCTCTTACCATGTGTCTCCCTGCTTCCCAGCACTGCATCGGTGGAGGAGGCTTCTTCCCAGAGGACAGTCCCAGACAATGTGGGGACTTCTCCTCCTATGATTGGAGTGGATATGGAACCCAAGTTCACTGGAGCAGCAGCCGGAGCATAACGGAGGCGGCCGTGCTCCTGTTCTACCGGTGAGGGCTCTGTGCTGGGAGACTGACCCAGCTCCTCACCCCAGATGCTCAGAGATGGGAAAACTGATTGTTAGCAAGGAGGAGAGGAGAATAAATTGCATCAGCATGTGACTCTGGATTTGTTTGAATTCTTCTCAAAATTGGGTGAGACCTTAAAGCACATTTTTATTTTATTTTTTAAAAGATTTTTTATTTATGCATACAAGAACTGGGGTATAGGCCAGAGGTGTGGGGGGTGAGAGGATTCACCAGAGACAGAGTGGGGAGTAGAACAGGTGGATCTACTGAATTACACTGCTGAGGGGAGCAGCGGGTGAGACAGGAGAGGTCTGCTGTGCCATGTGAAGTATTTCTCTTACCTATCTAATCAGGTCATAGTGCTACTGCTCAGAAAGGCAAACTCTGACACAGGATTAGTTCCTACAAGGAGGCATTTATTAACCAGTGGTGCCATGTCAGGAGGACAACATAGACAGGGTTCAAGAAAAGGTTGCCCGCCATAATGAGTTATATATTAGGTATGCAGGTATGTGGAGGAACAGATCAGTTCTATGATAGATGAAGGAAGGGCTTGAGAACTGAATATGACATTGGGACAGAAATGAGGAACCTCCTTGGTGGCGCAAGTGTTAAGATGCAATCTATGAAGCTGTCCACAGCCACTGAAGCACGAGTTCGATCCCCGGTCAGCCATGGAGCAACCCACATGGCGCAGGAGACGTCTCCTGTCTCTCCCTCTGCTCCCCTCAGCAGTGTATTTCAGTCAGTCTGCCTGTTCTGCTCCCCACTCTGTCTCTGGTGAATCCTCTCACCCCCACACATCTCTGGACTGTACCCCAGTTCTTGTATGCATAAATAAACAAATCTTTTAAAAAAAAGAAATGATAGGCTGTCCGAAGTATTCGAGGGGCTTTGTACATACTTCTTCTCAAATAGTTTCTGGACTGGTCAGTAATAAATTTTCAATAATTTGTGGTAAAGTGAGGAAATTTAGGATAAAGTAGTATTTTTGTATGAAACTAATTTATTTAAGGTAAAAATTTATATCCTGAGATGACCACCTTCTTATTTTGTTGTTCAAATTTCCTTTTTCTGTAAAATGAGGATAGTGGTAGATATTTACTTTTCAAAAAGTGTCTTAACTTTGCGAGAAAGAGAGACATACACAAAAATGCTAACAACACCCCTTATTGGTCTTCTGCTCATCTATTTTCTCTTTGGAAAGTGCATAGGTCCATGAAATCCACAATATGGGAACAATGCTAGTAGATGGCTTCTAAGATCTGTCTTTTAAAGCCTTTAATGTATTTATAGAGAATCTGCTCTTCGGCTTCCAAGGCTTTACTTCCTTTGGGCTGGGTTCCCACTGGCCTTTCTGCATAAAAGGTGTTCTCACCCCACATCAGGAGCCTCTGCAGCGAAAGCTCAGCTCCTGGCCCCCAGTGCCTGAGGAAGTCTGTGATGGAGAGCCAAAAGAAGTGTGGGGTTTAAGGCAAGGGGTCCTTGGCTTTTGAGTCTTTGTAGAACTGATAATGACGTGGGTGGGGCAGGGATGGTGATAACCTGCCCAACCGCTTCCTGCTGCTCCTCTTTGTGGCCACCAGTGGGCGCAGTGCAGGAGAGTTCCTTGTGGTTTCAGTCCCTCCTCCCACCTCGTGGGATCAGTAAGCAGAAGCAGGCTAGGGGTGGTGTCTCCTGCATCAGAGGGGATGTCTAAGGACAGAGGCCTTGTCTTGCTGAAAGCTGATTTCTGATCTCAGGTAGTATTTGGTCTGTACCAGTTAGGGTGTTTGGCTGAGGCATGTCCAGTGGCATGAGGGGCTTTGTGAAAAGTATGTCCCCTCTGAGCCATGACCTGCTCCTGAGACCTTGGCCCTGGGATTTTCAGAGGAGTTGCTTGGTCTGTTTTGTGCCCTCTTATAGTCTTCCTCACCACTACAAGAGTAAAAATGGCATTTAAGATCTATATTTCTTTCTTGTCTAGTTAAACAAAAACCATGTATTCCTAAATATCTCATGAAATCTTCATGAAATCACTCTTTGCTAGCTTCATTTTAGGTGTGAGGAAACCTAGGCTCGATGTCAGTAATAATTCCAAGGGTACTCAAAGAGTAAGCGTTGAACTACTTATAATTTAATGCCTACAGCAACGCCTGGTATTTTCTCCATTGTTCTAGACTTTCAGAATTGTTTGCAAACTCCCGAAAGTTTGCAGCATTATACAGAGTTTTTCATTTTGTACCTACCCTACACCCTGGTTTTTTAGTCACATGATTCCCCTTACATTTCTTCAGCAGGGTGTGCTGTGCTCTATTTTTTTCCCCATCCTTTTGTACATGGTGGTCTCTCTATCTTGAGTTCTTTGTTTCTATTCATACGTTATTTTTATTCTCTCACAATAAACTAGGATGTCACACAACTCTCACACAACTAATGTCTAGTACCTAGAACATTAATGCCAGAGTTCAAGACTTGGTGTTTCCGTGAATGCGTTTCCTGAAGGAGGTGAAGCATCAAAAGAATGTCTTGTTCTGGTTGATTCTGTGTTAACAACTTCTATGCATGAAATGTTAGGCTTAGGAATATAGATAGAGAAACACCTATTCTCCTTCCTGGTAACTCTGAAAATAGCCAAAGGAATTAGGAGCACAGGGAAAGCATTTTATTCAAACATTTCCTAACATGCACAGGGATGGATACATTTGCATATCCTTAACCTGAGGACACTTTTCAAAAAATTGAAAAGGAAGAAACACTCCTTAACTTATTCTAGGAGGGCAGCACTGCTCTGATATCAGTCAGACAAAGGCACCACAAGAAAAGAAAGCTACCAATATCCCTAGTGAACATTGCTACAAAAATTCTCAACAAAATAATAGAAAATCAAATATATCAGCATATTAAAATAATTATGCAGGGCTTTCCTGGTGGTGCAGGGGTTAAAGTCTCAGTGCTATCAAGCTGTCACTAGCTGCTGTGGCCTGAGTTCTATCTGCTGAAGACCAGCTCTGGCAAAATGTAGGGTCAGATGTCCCTGGAAGGATGAGATGGCCTAGGCCAGTCCTGAGGGCTGAGGGGAAGGGGAGTGAGACAGACGCAGACACTCTTATATTGGTGCAAGTATCTCCTCCTGAGGGTCTCAGTGGGTCTTTATTTATACATTAAGGCAAGCGGTGGGATTACATCATTGTATGCATAGAAGCAAAATCGAAACAATCAGTGCATTCCTTTCCCATAGACATTTTGGTGCCTAGGTGTTTTGAGAAAAGAAGTAACCTTAAAAGTTAATAGATAATTAAAACGTAGGCTCATTAATTCAGCCTATACAACTACCTAGGACAACTAATAGTCCTTGGTATATCCCTATTGCCAAGGATACAATATCAGGAGACTCCTCTATCTATATGGCCTGCAGCAAGAGACCAGTTGCTTCCCAGTAATCAGTTATTGGAAATTTTTTCTGCCTAGAAACTCCTAGCATAATCAACTTTATGATTCATTACAAGGCTTCTTTATGGAACTTCCATGTAAGGAATATTGCGGCCAGCTCTGGGTTGCTTATCAGGCATGCCCTTGCACAATAATTATTTCCCATTGTCAAGTGGGCCAAATTAGTCAGTGTTTAATTTTTAAGTAGGTAATTCTCCGTGCCATGTATTTACAATATTCTTATATGTATAATTTATTGCCCAATGTATTTACTGAGAAGTTCTTTCTTATTATGAACAGGAACAAAAAACAAAGGGATGTTTAATCTTTAGCCCCATGGTGTGAGGCACAAGGAATCTTCAGCCCCCCAGTGTGAGGCTCTTTGAGCTTTGGCCCCATGGTGTGAGGATTTTTTTCTTCAGCCCCACAGTGTGAGGCTCTTTGAGCTTTGGCCCCACGGTGTGAGGCCCTTTTCTGAGCTGCTTGCCAGTGTCTTACCTGGCTGGGGCAGCAAGGCCCCCTGCAGGATTTCCTCCCCCTTTTATTTTTGGCCATCATTTGCATAATTCTTAACTCAATTTGTAGTTGTCTAATAGCACGGAAAAGTAATTTGATAAACAATGGGAAGAGAAGTAGCATATGCATGGTGACAAGCAATATGATATCAATAGTAATAAATGATGGGAACCAGGCGGCCTTAGTGGTGTAGTGCTGCAAAGAAGCCAGGAAGGAATCAGCAACTTCGGCAGGAGTAGAAGAGGAGACATGAGATAAACTAATTGCCTTAATATCTACCTTCAAAGCAGTAAGGTCCAGGGAAACATATGTGTTATTCTAAATACCCAGCAAATGATTTTTGACATTATTCTAAGAAACAGAAGATGAGAGTAACACAAATTCATTTATAATCAGAGTGACATTTAGTGGTCAAGTGAGTTTTGATATGCTGAGTTTGATTACCAATATGCAAAAGTGTTTCCTTGAGAACATTTAAACAAGTCTTAAAATTTTTTTGTCTAAGAGCATAAATACCAAAATCATCATACCATGTTCTTCTAGATCTACAGGCAGTATCACATAAGGAGGTTGATAAACAATTACAAAGGCATTTGGTCCAATACAATTAGTTCATAAACATTCTGAACATGAGATGATCGCAAGCATACTCATAAACATGTTTTCAGGGGTCACCGCAACACCTTGCCCCTCCACGATTCACTGTACTTGATTGGAGAGTTGTTTTAATTGTCCCCAAGTTGGCAGGTTGCTGCGCAGCGTGGCAGTAGTTGAAGATGCAGCAGGACTTGTTGGCGACTCCTCAAACCTCAGTTGGTGAAAAGGAGGAACCAAGGTGTCAGTGGCTTCTGGAGAATGGGTGGGACTATGCTTAAGAGGAATAGTTAGAGGAGGTAAAGGCCTATGTGATTGCGGGAGAGGAGGGAGCCTGTGAGACATGGTGTTGAATTCAGCATCCTGTGGAAAAACACAAGCATAGCCTCTCCCACAAGTTAAATGAATTAAAAAAATTTTTTTTGAAGGCAGAGGAGGTGTAAGCTCCTGTCTTATAGCCTTGGCTATAAGACATTATCTGTCTTAATAGCCTTGGCTTTTCTGCATAAGCAAAACAAA